CAGCTGAAGTGAGGCAAATCTTCAGTGCCCATTTCTGGGGCTGGTCCCAGGTGGCTCTGGGCAGCTCTCGGTCACCAAGGACCTGGTTCACACAGCTTTGTTCTTCTGATAGCAGTTCAGAGGATTTCCATCTCAGAATAGTCCTGTGCCACAGGCAGCGGTTGACTGAACTGAGAGTTGTACCCCAGGCCTTATGGGAGCATGGGGATGTTGAGGGCTGGATCCACTGGTCACGATCTCTTCAGCAGCAAACAGAAGAGGTGGGAATCCTTTCCTGTGGATACCCAACCTGACTTCCTGCTGCTCTGCGTGATCCTTTCCTGAGGCTCCTCTGTCTGCTGGCTATGGAGTAGTGATCTCTGCTCCTGAGAGAGGAAGGGGTTTGGGAGGCACTTGGGCTCTTCCATGTCTGTACCCCAAAGGGCGCTGTGTGCTGTCCCAGCCTCAGAGCAGGGAGGTGTGTGTCTGGAGTTCTGATGACAGCGGTCCCCTGTCAGTGGTGCAGGCTCGGCTCAGGGCTCCTGAGTTCCAGCATTCCCAGTGTGAGGCAGTTGTTCCCGGTGGGCTCCGCAGCAGCTGGTGTGTGTCAGCTCGGTGTGTGTCAGCCCGGGGTTGGGCGCAGGAGCGGGTGTCCCGCAGTGTCACCGCTCCTTCCACTCTCCCTGTCCTGCTCCAGCCGGAGCATTCTGCATGCCTCTGTCCAGTGACGGTCTGCTTGTCCCCGGTAGTGCCCTGGTTGGAGCCGCGGGCCGGGATGGCCACGGTTGGGCTCTGGGCGAGCTTCAGACAGGCACAGGCGGGTTTGGGGAGCCCCGGGTATGGGGAGGGCCCGGCCCGGCCTTGGCCCCGGTTGGGGGGTGTCAGCCCAGCGGCCCGGTGCTGCCCTGAGGGCTCCCCGGGCGGTGCCGCTGACGCCGGTGTCTCCCGCAGGCGGTTCGCGGAGCGGAGCGGCGCGGCGCGGCTCGGCGGGCCCTGACCGGCCCTGCGCGGCTCGGCGCGCCCCCTGGCGGCGGCGGCAATAAACGGCGGCAGCGTCTGGCGCGGCTCGGCTCTGCGGGCGCGGGGGGCGGGGCCACCGGGCAGGGGGGCGGGGTTACCGGACAGAGGGCGGGGCCAGCCCGGCTCCGTGCGGGCCCGCACGCGCCGCGGCCGCCGCCCGCTCGCGCGCCGCACGTAGGCGCCGCTTAAAGGGGCAACGCGGCGGCCCCGGCGAGCTGCAGTCAGCGGCCGAGGGGCGGTGCTGCCGCCGAGCCCTGTGGGGACCCGACCTCCGCCGGCGGTGCCGACCCCGCGGGCCCCAGCGCACGGAGCCGGTGCCCTTTTAAGACGCGAGCTGCCGGTGCCGGTGGCTTTATTTACATGGGGGCTCGGGGGCGTCACGTGACGGGCAGAGCCGCGGCGGCCGAGCGTGGCGGGGCCATGGCGTGCACCGGTGATGACGGTCGGTGCGGGCGGGGGGGCGGGAGCCGGGGGATGCCGGGGGTACTGGGTCAGGCAGGGTCCCGGGCAGGCACCGGAGGGAAGGGGCAATGCGGGTTCTGGGGGTCCCGGCCGGACCTGGGGGATCTGGGTCAGTGGGAGCCCGGGGCTCCTGGGTGGGCCGGCGCACACACGGGGGGGTTCAGGTTAACGGGGGTCCCGGGAGGGCTGACGTGCACCGGGTCCGGGTCGATGGGGAGCCTGGGGCTCACGGCAGGCTGGGTGTGGGGTGGGGGCTGGTTCCATGGGAGTCCTGGGGGGTGATGAGCACCGGGGAGGGTGGCGGGGGTCAGTGGGGATCCCACGCTCCCAGCAGGGCATGGCAAGGGCAGCCCTGGGCACACACAGACCCACAGGTCAGGGGCAGGGCTTGGTGCTGGATGCCCGGGGGGGTCAGAGCGGGGTGCGGGTGCCCCTGGGGTCAGTGCCGGGCTGACGGCCCCTGCAGGCTCCTGGGTGGAGCTGCGCTGTGGCCCTGGGGGCCCTGAGCCAGAGCCCTCGCGGCTCTCCTCCTGCTCTGCCGACGTGGAGCGGATGCTGCTGGAGGCCCAGCTGGACACGGAGAGCGGCGACGGGTGAGTCCCAGGGCGCTGGCAGTGGGTGAGCCAGGGGCCTTGGGTGGCGCAGGCCTGGTGAGCGGCAGTTGCTTTGCAGTGCCCTGCTCCTGATGGGTTCCCCAGTCTGGGATGAGGATGGAGCTGGTCCAGCCGGCGAGCGGCCTGGGGACAGCGACCTGCGACCTCCCTGCAGCCAGCCCCAGCCAGGCTGCCTGCACCCCCGGCAGGTGAGGGAGCTGCACAGTGCCCTGTGCTCTGCTGACTGTGCCCTTGCTCTTACCTGTCCTGTGCCTCTTCCTAGCGGGACGTGCTGGATGCAGCCGAGCGGAGGGAGCAGCGCCTGCCAGCATCCCTCAACTGGGCCTGCACCCGCCACCCTCAGCACCTCTCTCCAAAGTAAGGCCATGTCTCCTGCCTGTCCTGCTGTCCCGTCCTGCTGTCCCGCCCTGCTGTCCCGCCCTGTCCCGTCCTGCTGTCCCGCCCTGCTGTCCCGTCCTGTCCCGTCCTGCTGTCCCGCCCTGCTGTCCCGCCCTGCTGTCCCGCCCTGCTGTCCCGCCCTGCAGTGCTCTGCCCTCCTCCCTTCCCTGTTAACTGTGCGCTTTCCCCAGGGAGTTTGCCTTTGTGTGCTCCCCGCAGCCGGTGCTGTGGAGCCTGCAGGGAGGAGCAGTGGGCAGAAAGAAGAAGCTGTTCAGTTCGGAGCTGCTGCTGCTCTTCATCCCCTCACTGCTGCTCAGCCACGTGCTGACGCTGGGGCTCGGGTGAGTTTCTGATGGGCCTGGCCTGGGCTTGGATGCATGCAGGGGGGAGCCCTGTGCCTGTATCCTGGGAGCCCCCGGCTGGCCTGGCCCAGGAGCTCCCTCATGGAGCTGGCTGGGGAACCACTCCTGGATGTGGGGTGCTCTTCCTTGGCTGCTGCTCCGAGCAGCTCTGCGGGGTCACTGAGAGCCTCTCTTTCCACCCAGGATCTACATCGGGAAGCGGCTGGCAGCCTCCTCGGCCAACCCACTGTGAAGAGCTGGGGTCACTGAGGCTCCGTGTGGGGGAGCCCGGGCATCAGCGCAGCCCAGCTGCTCCCAGGCTTCCAGGCTGTGGCACGGGGCGCCTCTCCCCTTGTCCCTTCTGTAGCCCCAGCGCAGGAGCTGATCCCGCTCTCCCACGTAGACAGAAGCCCACTGGTGGCAGCTCCCAGGGCAGCAGCCCCTGCCCCCCATCCCCTGGTTACGGGTCCATGTTCCTCCTTTTTAACAGACTGTAAATACGACTCCTGAGCTGCACCCCAGTGCGAATAAAGAGCCCCGAGTCACCGGCAGCGCCAGAGCCACCAGGCCAGCACTGGGAGGGCAGGCGAGCTCCCCAGGGTGTTGTGGCATGCCCATGGGCTCAGGCTGCAGGAGGTCCCTGCCAGTTGGGGTGCTGGGGGGGTGCCTGGCTGTGAAAGGGCCCCCGCTTGGCCTGTGGGCATGCAGGGATGAGGGCTGGGTTCATGGCAGTTTTCAGCCCTGCTGTAGCATGTAAGGCTGGTGCGTTAGTGCTTTATTAGCCATGACTGAGGCACTGGGGAGCCCAGTGCTGGGGGCCAGGGACTGCAGAGCCAGATGTGGCAGGAGAGCTGGTGCTGTGAAGCCAGATGTGGCAGGAGAGCTGGTGCTGTGAGATGTGGCAGGGGAGCTGGTGCTGTGAAGCCAGATGTGGCAGGAGAGCTGGTGCTGTGAAGCCAGATGTGGCAGGAGAGCTGGTGCTGTGAAGCCAGATGTGGCAGGGGAGCTGGTGCTGTGAAGCCAGATGTGGCAGGAGAGCTGGTGCTGTGAGATGTGGCAGGAGAGCTGGTGCTGCCCAGGCTGCACAGACCTGGCTGGGCCAGAGTTGGTTCTGGTGCTGTGGGATGGGGTGGGACGATGAGGGACAAAGGAGAGGATCTGCCCCTAGTGGGAGTGGGAGGGAAGAGCTGGGCCCATGCTGGCAGGGGCTTGGGGCTTGTTGCCCTGGGCGTGCCATGGTCCACAGGCAGTTGAGGGTGGAGGGAGGAAGATCCTTTCCAGTGTAGCGTGGTCACGGTGCTGAGGGGCTGCGTGGCTCAGAGCTCAGCTGGGGCAGGGCCTGGCACCGGTGTGTGGCCACTTGGGCTCAGCAGGAGCCTGAGCTGGGGCCTCTGGGGTGAGGAAGTGTGGGGACACCTGAAGGGTGTCAGGAGCCAGCCCTGGCAGGACACAGGGTGGCTGTGCCCTGTGCTGGGGCATGCGGGGGGGTCCTGAGCTGGGCAGGGTGCAAGTGGGGGTCCAGTGGTAGGGATGGAGCAGGGCTGTTGGCACAGCGGGCAGGGATGGAGCAGGGATCAGGCAGGGATGGAGCAGGGATGGACTAGGGCCATTGGCACAGTGGGCAGGGATGGAACAGGGCCGTTGGCACAGTGGGCAGGGATGGAACAGGGATCAGGCAGGGATGGAACAGGGCCGTTGGCACAGCAGGCAGGGATGGAGCAGGGATCAGGCAGGGATGGAACAGGGATCAGGCAGGGATGGACAAGGGCCATTGGCACAGCGGGCAGGGATGGAGCAGGGATCAGGCAGGGATGGAGCAGGGCCGTTGGCACAGCGGGCAGGGATCAGGCAGGGATGGAGCAGGGATCAGGCAGGGATGGAGCAGGGATCAGGCAGGGATGGAGCAGGGATCAGGCAGGGATGGAGCAGGGCCGTTTGCACAGTGGGAGCGGGGTCGCGGTGAGGTTTTCCATCCCTGGGCAGATGGGGCTGCTGCGGGCTCGGGCTCGGTGCTGCTTCGGGCTCGGGGCTGCTGCGGGCTCGGGCTCGGTGCTGCTTCGGGCTCGGTGCTGCTTCGGGCTCGGGGCTGCTGCGGGCTCGGGGCTGCTGCGGGCTCGGGGCTGCTGCGGGCTCGGGGCTGCTGCGGGCTCGGGGCTGCTGCGGGCTCGGGGCTGCTGCGGGCTCGGGGCTGCTGCGGGCTCAGGCTCGGGCTCGGGTTCAGAGCTGCGAGAAGCGCTTGAACCGGGGGGACGGCAGCGGCGGCGACTTCGGGCCTTTGCTTCCGTCCGCCGGGGGTGCTGGGGTCGCCTGCAGGCGGGAGGCGCCGTTAGCGGGCGCTGGGGCCGTTACCGGGGGCCGGGGCCGTTACCGGGGGCCGGGCCGGGGGTACCTTCCCTGCGGCGGCGTCGCTGAGCTCCAGGAAGGTCTCGTGCACGGCGGAGCTGATCCTGCGCGGCCCCGGCGGGGCTCTGCTGGCGCCGGGTGACGGGGGCGGCCCTGGGGGGGGGGGGTTCATCCACTGGGGAGCCGCCGGGGCCTGTGGGGGTGCCTGGGGCTGCCGGGGCAGGGGGGGGCTGCAGCGCGGTGGGGCTGAGCCCGGCCGGGAGAGGGGAGCTGCGGAGCTCAGCTCGGCACCGAGAGCCACCGGCACCGAGAGCCACCGGCCCCGAGAGCCACCGGCACCGAGAGCCACCGGCCCCGAGAGCCACCGGCCCCGAGAGCCACCGGCACCGAGAGCCACCGGCACCGAGAGCCACCGGCACCGAGAGCCACCGGCACCGAGAGCCACCGGCCCCGAGAGCCATCGGCACCGAGAGCCACCGGCCCCGAGAGCCACCGGCCCCGAGAGCCACCGGCCCCGAGAGCCACCGGCACCGAGAGCCACCGGCACCGAGAGCCCCACGGCAGTGCTGTCCCCATGCACAGAGCCCCCCTCCCTGCTGCAGCTCCAGCCCCACGGCAGTGCTGTCCCCATGCACAGAACCCCTCTCCCTGCTGCAGCTCCAGCCCCACGGCAGTGCTGTCCCCATGCACAGAACCCCTCTCCCTGCTGCAGCTCCAGCCCCACGGCAGTGCTGTCCCCATGCACAGAGCCCCCCTCCCTGCTGCAGCTCCAGCCCCACGGCAGTGCTGTCCCCATGCACAGAGCCCCCCTCCCTGCTGCAGCTCCAGCCCCACGGCAGTGCTGTCCCCATGCACACAACCCCTCTCCCTGCTGCAGCTCCAGCCCCACGGCAGTGCTGTCCCCATGCACAGAGCCCCCCTCCCTGCTGCAGCTCCAGCCCCACGGCAGTGCTGTCCCCATGCACAGAGCCCCCCTCCCTGCTGCAGCTCCAGCCCCACGGCAGTGCTGTCCCCATACACAGAGCCCCCCTCCCTGCTGCAGCTCCAGCCCCACGGCAGTGCTGTCCCCATGCACAGAGCCCCCCTCCCTGCTGCAGCTCCAGCCCCACGGCAGTGCTGTCCCCATACACAGAGCCCCCCTCCCTGCTGCAGCTCCAGCCCCACGGCAGTGCTGTCCCCATGCACAGAGCCCCCCTCCTGCTGCAGCTCCAGCCCCACGGCAGTGCTGTCCCCATGCACAGAGCCCCTCTCCCTGCTGCAGCTCCAGCCCCACGGCAGTGCTGTCCCCATGCAGAGCCCCCTCCCTGCTGCAGCTCCAGCCCCACGGCAGTGCTGTCCCCATACACAGAGCCCCCCTCCCTGCTGCAGCTCCACCCCACGGCAGTGCTGTCCCCATGACTCCCCCTGCTGCAGCTCCAGCCCCACGGCAGGGCTGTCCCCAGAGCACAGAGGCGAGGTCCCTGCTGCAGCTCCAGCCCCACGGCAGTGCTGTCCCCATGCACAGAGCCCCCCTCCCTGCTGCAGCTCCAGCCCCACGGCAGTGCTGTCCCCATGCACAGAGCCCCCCTCCCTGCTGCAGCTCCAGCCCCACGGCAGTGCTGTCCCCATGCACAGAGCCCCCCTCCCTGCTGCAGCTCCAGCCCCACGGCAGTGCTGTCCCCATACACAGAGCCCCCCTCCCTGCTGCAGCTCCAGCCCCACGGCAGTGCTGTCCCCATGCACAGAGCCCCCCTCCCTGCTGCAGCTCCAGCCCCACGGCTTGGTCCCTGCTGGCCCAGCCCTGACCGGGCCCGTGCGGTGCCATCCGCGGGGGCTGCGCTCAGCACTCACCATCTCCCGCAGCCCGTACTGGCGCTGCACCTTGGCCCGCAGCTGCCCGAAGCACTGCTCCAGGCGCTCGTGGAACGGGCGCAGCTCCCCCGTCACCTTCTGCCCGTGCAGCCGGATCCCCTCGGCCAGCAGCGGCACCTGCAGGAGGACAGGGACAGGGACACCGGGACTGCGGAGCCCCCGGGCTGGGGCGCCGGGGTCGGTGGGTGCTCAGGTCCGTACCCACCGGGACTGCGGAGCCCCCGGGCTGGGGTCGGTGGGTGCTCAGGTCCGTACCCACCGGGGCTGCGGAGCCCCCGGGCTGGGGCGCTGGGGTCGGTGGGTGCTCAGGTCCGTACCCACCGGGACTGCGGAGCCCCCGCGCTGGGGTCGGTGGGTGCTCAGGTCCGTACCCACCGGGGCTGCGGAGCCCCCGGGCTGGGGCGCCGGGGTCGGTGGGTGCTCAGGTCCGTACCCACCGGGACTGCGGAGCCCCCGCGCCGGGGTCGGTGGGTGCTCAGGTCCGTACCTGCCAGGCGATCAGGTCCTTCAGCTTCTCGATGCTCTCCTGCTCCTCGGGGTGCTCCCGCACGTAGGACTCCTGGAGAAAGGCCTGCGAGGAGCCGGCTCGGTGCTGCCGAGGGCCCGGCTCAGCCCCGCGCAGGCCGGGGGCAGCGCAGCCCCCGTGTCCTCACCATCTCGTACTTGGCGAGGCCCCCCATGACAGCAGGGTCCACGATGCCGCTGAGCAGCATGGAGAGCGGGTTGATGGGCAAGCCGGGGTCCTGCCGGTGCCGGCTGATCTCGCTCATGATCTTCTCATTGGTTTTCATCATGGTCTCGATGGCGTTTTCCAGGGGGGAGATGATGGCCTGTGCCCAGGGAGGGGAGCTCACAGCCTGGGCAGGGTGGCAGCGAGGGCCCTCCCCAGCGCTGGGGCTGCTCCTCTCATGCCACAGCACCCCTTGCCCCTGGCACCAGCTCCTGCAGCTGAGCCCAGCGATCAGGAGGAGGCACTGGAAGTGCTGGTCCCGGCTCGGAGCAGAGGCTGCAGCAGCGCCGGTCCTGCAGGCCAGGAGGTGGACGCGGCAGCTCCCATGCAGCCCCTGTGCTCAGCACAGCCCTGACGGCCCAGCCAGGGCATTCCCGTGTCCTCCCACAACACCCGAGCCACTGGGCTCCGGCACCCCCCGCTGCGAGAGGTGTGAGACCCACACATGGAGCTGCTGGAGCCCCTCCAGCGCCGCTGCTGCTCCCACACGTGGCCTCCTGCTCTGCTCGGAGATGGGCTCCCGGTGGGTGAGCACCCAGACCAGGGCCTGGCATCAGATCCGTGCTCCCGGCACCAGTCAGGGGGTGCTGGGGAGTCTCTGTGCCCACGGTCAGCAGCAGCCCTGGGTACACAGCCTGGGACACCGCTCCCTGCGGCACTGGCCCAAGCCCAGCCCTGGAACGGGGGTCAAGGGGATGCCAAAGGGGGACGTGCCCAGTGCCTGGCAGCGGTGGCAGTGGGACTCTGCTCACACTGACCCAGGCCCTGCGCCCAAAGCATCACAGGGCCACAAGAGCAAGGTGAGGGTTTGGGGGTCTGAGTGCTGGGGGGGCTGGATCTGGTTTGCACCGAGAGCAGGGGCTGCAGGGGCAGGGGCAGGACCCACTCCTGCAGCCGGGTCTGAGCTGTTTGAGACTGGGGAGCCCAGAAGGGGAAGGGGGGGCAGCAGCTGCTGCCTGGGGAAGGGATGCCCCGGGAGGGTCCCGCAGCCCCCGAAGCCCCTCACCGTGGTGGTGGAGGTCACCGCGAACCAGCGGAGGATGCCGGGCAGGGGATAGGCGGTCAGGAAGGTCGTCCGCTCGATCCACATGTTCTGTGGGAAGCGAGGGGGTCAGCCCAGCACCCTGGGACACCCCATGGGGCAGGGGCCTCCCGCCTCCCCGTGCCATGAGCATGGAACCACTGCCATCCCCATCCCAGCTCTGGGAGCCCCCTGTCCTGCTTGCACCCCCCCTCCCGTGGACTCTCAGCTCCTCACAGGCCTCCAGCACTCACGGCAAATTCGTTGTCTGGGTCCTCTGGGCCTTTCTTGAAGGGCCGCGAGTAGCTGAACCTCTGGACGTGGTTGGCTCTGTAGAAGCTGGAGGGCAGGAAGGGCAGAGGGGGGAAAGGTCCCCGTTTGCCCCTTCCCATGGGGAGCAGGGCAGCAGCAGCCCCTCCGTGCCAGGGCACTCACCTGGTGATCTGCTCAGGGATGCTCCGGTCCTTGAACCGGCCCCTGCCTTCCTCCGCCGGCTGCACGGTGAAGCACTGGATGTCTGCGGGAGTGAAGGAGCCACCAGCACCACTGCAGGGACCCATGTGGGGGCAATGACCCAGGAGCCAGCCCTCCCACCCTGCCCGTGCTCAGCGGATCCCTGCCTGCCCATCCCTGCCCATAGGATCCCTGCCTGCCCATCCCTGCCCATAGGGTCCCTGCCTGCCCATCCCTGCCCATAGGATCCCTGCCTGCCCATCCCTGCTCAGAGCATCCCTGCCTGCCCATCCCTGCCCATAGGATCCCTGCCTGCCCATCCCTGCTCAGGGGATCCCTCCCTGCCCATCCCTGCCCATAGGATCCCTGCCTGCCCATCCCTGCCCATAGGATCCCTGCCTGCCCATCCCTGCCCATAGGATCCCTGCCTGCCCATCCCTGCCCATAGGATCCCTGCCTGCCCATCCCTGCCCATAGGATCCCTGCCTGCCCATCCCTGCCCATAGGATCCCTGCCTGCCCATCCCTGCCCATAGGATCCCTGCCTGCCCATCCCTGCCCATAGGATCCCTGCCTGCCCATCCCTGCCCATAGGATCCCTGCCTGCCCATCCCTGCCCATAGGATCCCTGCCTGCCCATCCCTGCCCATAGGATCCCTGCCTGCCCATCCCTGCCCATAGGATACACTGTCCCGGGGAGCCAGTGATGTCCTGCCCAGGGGGACTCGTGCTCTTGAGCCTCTCAGCGCTGGGGAAGGGGCTCAGCAGCTGCAGCTCGAAGTCCTCCCGGCGCTCGTACTCCTTGCCCCGGTAGATGAAGACCTTGTTCTGCAGGGGGGAAGGAGCCACCTTGTCCCTCCCCAGAGAAGCATTGCCCCGAGCCCAGCAGCTGGGGGTGAAGGGAACTGAGGCACATGGAGGTGATGGGAGAAGCCAACAGCGCTTCACTAAGGGCAAAGGGTGCCTGATGAATCTGGTGCCCTTCTGTGTTGGGGGGTAAGGGAAGAGCCCCTGGCACCATCAGCCTGGCCTTGGGCAAGGTGTGTGCCACTGTCCTGCACAGCACCCTTGTCTCTGAGCTGGAGAAACACGGCTTTGACAGATGGAGCGCTCAGGACGTAAGGAATTGGCTGGATGGACTCAGAGTGGAGCTGTTGGAATGAGGCCAGAGAAGGGCACCGAGATGGGCTCCAGAGGGGCTCCAGGGAACCTGGAGAGGGGCTTTGGCCAAGGGGCTGCAGGGACGGGACAAGGGGAACGGCTTGAACCTGTCAGAGGGGAGATGGGGATGAGCGCATGAGAAGGGGCAGGGCCGCGGCCCCAGGACGCTCACCCGCAGGAACGGGGGGAAGCCCTGCCTGTAGTAGCCCACGGCAAAGTAATCCGGGCTGGGCCGCAGCACCTTCAGGATCTTCTCATAGAAGCCGGCTTCGCGCTGCTGCAGGAGAGGGGTGGGACCGGGGGTGGGACGGGACCGGGCAGGGCCAGGAGGCTGCGGCCCCTCCGCTCCCCCGCTCTCACCAGGATGTCGCTCAGCAGCTCGTAGTCAAAGAGCTCGCTCTCGTACTGCTCCGCCAGCTCCTTGCAGATGAGGATGGCCTCTTCCCACATCTGCAGGAGATGGAGCTGGGAGGCACTGGGGCTTCCGGAGGGGACCGGCCCCAGCTGCAGCGAGGACGGGGGGAGCTGGTGGCCCAGCTGAGTGCAGTGCGGTGGCTGCAGCAGGACTTGGCTTCCCACCATCTCCAGCCCCTGAGCCCCCCAGCATGAGCAATTCCTCTCCTGGGGTGTCACCAGGCACTGTGAGGGCTGGGGGCTGAGACTGGGATGGGATGGGACAGAATGGGGTGAGATTGGGTGGGATGGGACATGATGAGGTGAGATGGGATGGAAGAGAATGGAATGGGACAGGATGGGATGGGGTGGGATAGGATGGGCTGGGGTGGAACAGGGAGGAAAGGGACAGGATGGGGTGGGATGGGGTGGGATAGGATGGGCTGGGGTGGGACAGGGTGGAAAGGGACAGGATGGGGGGATGGGGTGGGATAGGATGGGCTGGGGTGGGACAGGGTGGAGGATGGGGGGGGATGGGGTGGGATAGGATGGGCTGGGGTGGGACAGGGTGGAAAGGGACAGGATGGGGTGGGATGGGGTGGGATAGGATGGGCTGGGGTGGGACAGGGTGGAAAGGGACAGGATGGGGGGGGATGGGGTGGGATGGGATGGGCTGGGGTGGGACAGGGTGGAAAGGGACAGGATGGGGTGGGATGGGGTGGGATAGGATGGGCTGGGATGGGACAGGGTGGGAAGGGACAGGATGGGGTGGGATCGGGTGGGATAGGATGGGCTGGGGTGGGACAGGGTGGGAGGGGACAGGATGGGGTGGGATCGGGTGGGATAGGATGGGCTGGGGTGGGACAGGGTGGGAAGGGACAGGATGGGGTGGGATGGGGTGGGATAGGATGGGCTGGGATGGGACAGGGTGGGAAGGGACAGGATGGGGTGGGATAGGATGGGCTGGGGTGGGACAGGGTGGGAAGGGACAGGATGGGGTGGGATCGGGTGGGATAGGATGGGCTGGGGTGGACAGGGTGGGAAGGGACAGGATGGGGTGGGATCGGGTGGGATAGGATGGGCTGGGGTGGGACAGGGTGGGAAGGGACAGGATGGGGTGGGATGGGTGGGATAGGATGGGCTGGGGTGGGACAGGGTGGGAAGGGACAGGATGGGGTGGGATGGGTGCACGGGGGGAAGCACAGGCTGAGCAGCTGGGTGGCTGTGGGTGACCCATCCACCCCGGCCTCGCTGCAGGGCAGCTCCAGCCCCACCACAGCGGTGGGGAGCGAGGCTGGGCCGGGCCGGGGCTGGAGGCTGGGAGCGGGAGGCAGCGGAGGGCAGGGAGGGCCGCGGGGCAGCAGCAGCAGCAGCAGCAGGAGGAGGATGAGGCCCCCACGGCTCGGCCGCGCTCACCTTGCCCTGGTCGAAGTACCCAATGATCTGCTTGTAAAGCGCCTCCTTGAGCTGGCGCTGGGTGCGTACCGCGGGTCCCTGCGAGCCCTGCACCGGAGCCGCGCTCGCCTCGTCCGACCACTGCGGGGGACACCGGAGCCCGTCACGGGGAGCCCCGGCCCCCCCCCCGCCCCGCGGCCCCGGTGCCCACCTCCAGCAGCCGCGCGTGCAGCAGCAGCGTGTAGGCGCCCTCGGTGTAGTTCTCGTAGGTGACGTGCAGGTCCCGCAGCTTGTACAGGTACCTGCGGGGGAGAGAGGGGGGGAACCGGGCCCAGAGCCCCGCACCCGCACCGCGGCGGCTCCCCCGTCCCCGCCCGTCCCCTAACCCTAACCCCTAACCCTTAACCTAGTAACCCTAACCCTAACCCTAACCCAATCCTAACACTAACCCAAACCCTAACCCTAACCCCAACCCTAACCCAAAACTTAAGCCTAAACCTAACCCTAACCCCAACCCTAACCCTAACCCCAACACTAACCCCTAACCCCTAACCCTAACCCTAACCCCTAACCCTAACCCTAACGCTAACCCTTACCTCGCCCCGGCCGCACTCACCTGATGTACATGGCCTGGCGGCCGATCTCCTTGTAGAAGTTCTGGGAAGAGCACACGAGGCCGTTTGAGGCCGGTGCCACCGCAACCCCCCCCCCCCCCCCCCCCCCCGGTGCCACCGCTCCCCACCGGCCCCATCGGCTCGGACCCGCGAGGTGCCTCCCACCGGAGGTTTGGCACCGGGCAGACCCCATCCCTGCTCTACCCGGGAACGGGGGGGGGGCCATGGGGCTGAGCCCCGGGGCAGGGGCACGGGGCAGGTGCCCACCAGCAGGTTAACGGTGCAGCTCATGCTGTAGGTCTTGTTCTCGTCGTTCCTCACGGCCCGGTAGTCCAGGAGCCGCTCCAGGAGCCCCGTCACCAGCGCCACGAAGCTCTGGCCGGGCTCGGCCAGCTCGGGGTGTCCCCGGCAGCAGCTCAGCAGGCTGGGGGGGCAGGAGGTGATGGGGTCACTGTGCTCAGCCCCAGCCCTGCTCCCTGTGCTGAGGGGGGCAGGAGGTGACGGGGTCACTGTGCTCAGCCCCAGCCCTGCTCCTTGTGCTGGGGGGGGGCAGGAGGTGATGGGGTCACTGTGCTCAGCCCCAGCCCTGCTCCTTGTGCTGGGGGGGGGCAGGAGGTGATGGGGTCACTGTGCTCAGCCCCAGCCCTGCTCCTTGTGCTGAGGGGGGCAGGAGGTGATGGGGTCACTGTGCTCAGCCCCAGCCCTGCTCCTTGTGCTGAGGGGGGGCAGGAGGTGATGGGGTCACTGTGCTCAGCCCCAGCCCTGCTCCTTGTGCTGGGGGGGCAGGAGGTGATGGGGTCACTGTGCTCAGCCCCAGCCCTGCTCCTTGTGCTGGGGGGGCAGGAGGTGATGGGGTCACTGTGCTCAGCCCCAGCCCTGCTCCTTGTTGGGGCAGGGGCAGTGCTGGGGCAGGGGCAGTGCTGGGGCAGGGGCACTGCTGGGGCAGGGGCATTGCAGGGGCAGGGGCATTGCTGGGGCAGGGGCATTGCTGGGGCAGGGGCATTGCTGGGGCAGGGGCATTGCTGGGGCAGGGGCAGTGCTGGGGCAGGGGCAGTGCTGGGGCAGGGGCACTGCTGGGGCAGGGACATTGCTGGGGCAGGGGCATTGCAGGGGCAGGGGCAGTGCTGGGGCAGGGGCACTGCTGGGGCAGGGACATTGCAGGGGCAGGGGCAGTGCTGGGGCAGGGGCAGTGCTGGGGCAGGGGCACTGCTGGGGCAGGGACATTGCTGGGGCAGGGGCATTGCTGGGGCAGGGGCATTGCAGGGGCAGGGGCAGTGCTGGGGCAGGGGCATTGCTGGGGCAGGGGCATTGCTGGGGCAGGGGCATTGCTGGGGCAGGGGCAGTGCTGGGGCAGGGGCACTGCTGGGGCAGGGGCATTGCTGGGGCAGGGGCATTGCAGGGGCAGGGGCAGTGCTGGGGCAGGGGCACTGCTGGGGCAGGGGCATTGCTGGGGCAGGGGCATTGCAGGGGCAGGGGCAGTGCTGGGGCAGGGGCATTGCTGGGGCAGGGGCATTGCTGGGGCAGGGGCATTGCAGGGGCAGGGGCAGTGCTGGGGCAGGGGCATTGCTGGGGCAGGGGCATTGCTGGGGCAGGGGCATTGCAGGGGCAGGGGCATTGCTGGGGCAGGGGCATTGCTGGGGCAGGGGCATTGCTGGGGCAGGGGCATTGCTGGGGCAGGGGCATTGCAGGGGCAGGGGCAGTGCTGGGCCAGGGGCATTGCTGGGGCAGGGGCATTGCTGGGGCAGGGGCATTGCAGGGGCAGGGGCAGTGCTGGGGCAGGGGCATTGCTGGGGCAGGGGCATTGCTGGGGCAGGGGCATTGCAGGGGCAGGGGCAGTGCTGGGGCAGGGGCATTGCTGGGGCAGGGGCATTGCTGGGGCAGGGGCAGTGCTGGGGCAGGGGCAGTGCTGGGGCAGGGGCAGTGCTGGGGCAGGGGCAGTGCTGGGGCAGGGGCATTGCAGGGGCAGGGGCAGTGCTGGGGCAGGGGCATTGCTGGGGCAGGGGCATTGCAGGGGCAGGGGCAGTGCTGGGGCAGGGGCATTGCTGGGACAGGGGCAGTGCTGGGGCAGGGGCAGTGCTGGGGCAGGGGCAGTGCTGGGGCAGGGGCACTGCTGGGGCAGGGGCATTGCTGGGGCAGGGGCACTGCTGGGACAGGGGCAGTGCTGGGGCAGGGGCAGTGCTGGGGCAGGGGCACTGCTGGGGCAGGGGCACTGCTGGGACAGGGGCAGTGCTGGGGCAGGGGCAGTGCTGGGGCAGGGGCATTGCTGGGGCAGGGGCATTGCTGATGCAGGGGCACTGCAGGGGCAGCAGGGGTGTGCAAGGCGCTCATGATGCTGCAGGGACAGGAGTTTTCCTCCCCTGTAGCCCTGCCCCAGCTCGGAGCCCGGTGAGGAGCAGGCCGGCAGAGGCAGTGTGGGGCAGGAGGACAGCAGGGGCCCAGGGGGCTGTGAGGAGGCCCCCGCACACTCACACGCTCTCCAAGAGCTCCTTGTACTGCTCGTCCCCGCGGCCGCCCTCCACCCCCGTGTCCAACTGCCGCAGGACCTCGTCCTCGAGCTGCAGAGCTGGGCGTGAGCAGCGCCGGGAGCTGGGCTGGGGCCCTGGGGCTGCAGCTCTGGGGCAGGAGGCTCCCAACAGCCCCGGGCTCAGCCGATGCAGCCCCTTCCCAAGGACCCCCCCACTGAGGGGTCCCTGCTCCCCTGCGCTGCGAGGAGCAGGCTCCGGCCCCAGGCACGCACCCGGGCAAGGCTGCGGCTGAGCTGGTGCTCGCAGAGCATCCTGTCAAAGAGGATGGGGATGGAGGCCTCGCGCAGCTGCGGCTCCGGCACCAGCGTCACCTCCAGGATGGGGCCCACCATGCCTGGGATGAACTCGATCCTGCGGGGGCCTGGGATGGGGAATGGGAAGGCCGTGCTGCGGGCAGGCACCGGCCCGGAGAGGGGAGGCTGCCTGCAGGGAGTGAGGGCTCCCGGCTGCTCACAGTGCTGCTGGCTCAGGCACCATGGCTTTGCCTGGCTGCGGATGGCACATCCCATAGACTCACCCATCCCATAGACTCACCCATCCCATAGACTCACCCATCCCACAGGCTCACCCATCCCATAGACTCACCCATCCCGCAGGCTCACCCATCCCATAGACTCACCCATCCCATAGACTCACCCATCCCACAGGCTCACCCATCCCACAGGCTCACCCATCCCATAGACTCACCCATCCCACAGACTCACCCATCCCATAGACTCACCCATCCCATAGACTCACCCATCCCATAGACTCACCCATCCCACACTCACCCACCATAGACTCACCCCATCCCCCAGGCTCACCCATCCCATAGACTCACCCATCCCACAGACTCACCCCATCCCGCAGGCTCACCCCATCCCATAGACTCACCCATCCCACAGCTCACCCATCAGACTCACCCACACCTGCCCCATAGACTCACCCATCCCACAGGCTCACCCATCCCATAGACTCACCCATCCCACAGGCTCACCCATCCCATAGACTCACCCATCCCACAGGCTCACCCATCCCATAGACTCACCCATCCCACAGGCTCACCCATCCCATAGACTCACCCATCCCACAGGCTCACCCATCCCACAGACTCACCCATCCCACAGACTCACCCATCCCATAGACTCACCCATCCCATAGACTCACCCATCCCGCAGGCTCACCCATCCCATAGACTCACCCATCCCACAGGCTCACCCATCCCATAGACTCACCCATCCCACAGGCTCACCCATCCCACAGACTCACCCATCCCGCAGGCTCACCCATCCCGCAGGCTCACCCATCCCGCAGGCTCACCCATCCCGCAGGCTCACCCATCCCACAGACTCACCCATCCCACAGGCTCACCCATCCCCAGGCTCACCATCCCATAGACTCACCCATCCCACAGGCTCACCCATCCCATAGACTCACCCATCCCATAGACTCACCCATCCCACAGGCTCACCCATCCCATAGACTCACCCATCCCATAGACTCACCCATCCCATAGACTCACCCATCCCGCAGGCTCACCCATCCCACAGGCTCACCCATCCCACAGGCTCACCCATCCCACAGGCTCACCCATTCCACAGGCTCACCCATCCCACAGGCTCACCGATCCCGCCCTGCCCATCCCAGAGCATCCTCCAGGCTCATGCCTGCAGCCCCAGTGCCTCCCGCTGGGAGCATCCCACCCCCCCGCACCATCCCAGGGGCCATGCTGGTGGCCAGCAGCCAGCAGGCACTCGCCAAGCCCCATGGCCATGCCGCGCTCACCGAGGCTGTACCACATGTCCCGGATGGACGCTCCGATGGTGGCTCTCATGTCCCCGTACCTGCCAGGGCCGCTTTGCTCAGCACCCGGAGCAGGATGCGATCCAAGCCCAGCCCAACCCCAGCCCCGCGGCTGGAGAGCCCGGCCCCACGGTGCTGCCACAGGGCAGGGCCAGCTGGAGGAGCTGGGGGTCACTCACCTGGCCAGGATGCTGCTGCGCTTGGCCTGGGAGAAGCGCTCGAGCTGCAGCGAGCCCTGGGTCAGGAAAGCCACGGCCAAGTGGAAGTAACTGTTCCAGAGCTGCAGAGGGACAGGGCAGGGGTGGCACAAGGGGGCCGGGGCAGAGCCGGGGACACGCGGGGTCCCCTCGCCCTGAGCTGGAGCCGCTCCCGCACCTGCAGCTCGAAGCTGTCCCCGCTCAGGAACGTCTCTGTCAAGGTGGAGCCGAACCGGTTGATGATGCGCAGGAGCTCCCTGTGGGTGATGGGGTCAGCGGCTCTGCCTGTCCCAGTGCCGCAGGCAGGGCCCAGTGCTGCCGCTGCACCGGTCCTGCCCACTGGCATCCCCACTGATGCCGTGAGGTGTCCAGCAACAGCTCCCCACTCCCCGGGAGCCCCCAAGCCCACTGATGGGGCTGCAGTGGGGCTGCACTGTCCTAGGGTTAGGGTTAGGGTTAGGGTTAGGGTTAGGGATAGGGTTAGGGTTAGGGTTAGGGTTAGGGTTAGGGTTAGGGTTAGGGTTAGGGTGGAGGCAGCAGGAGCTGCCCTGAACTTGGCCCCAGAGTGCTGAAGGTGTTTGGAGGGGGCTGAGCGAGCCTTAGGCTCCGTGCTCCGGTGTCTGGGTGCCCCATGCCCCAGAGGCACCCCAGGTCCAACATCCCCCCGTGGGTCAGTGCCAGCCCAGGGATGCGCACCGGTTCTGCACCATGCTCATCACCATCCAGTCGGACGGGTACACTGCCTTGCCAATGAGGTCCTTGAAGAGGATGAAGGTCTCCATGAGGAAATCCTGGTGCAAAGGAGATGTCAAGACCACGATACCCTCCCCAGGTGATGCAGTGCTGGATGCTGGGGCTGGGAGCAGCCTCACCACCCACCAGCTTCACCTCCATGGAGCACCATGGAGGGGTGGGTGGCACCAGTGCTGGGTGCCCAGGTACAGACACTGGGAACAGTGGGACACCATAGACATAGGGTGGAGAGGCAGAGGGGTGCTGGTGATGGAGGGCCCAGGTGGCTGCATGGGGCAGCACTCACCATCAGCTCGACCCGAGAGGGGAACGCCTTGATGTAAGATCTGTAATGTTCCGTGTCCATCTGGCTCAGGATGGCAGCCATGCAGGCCACATAGTGACACTGTGGGACAGGAGCCGGTCAGACACTGCTGGGGTCCCATCGGGGGTGCTGGGGATGGGGGTCCCTGGCTGGCACTGTGGGGTGCACTGGGGATGGGATCCTATGGTTGGCACTAAGAGGAGCACTGGGGATGGGATCCCATGGTTGGCACTAAGAGGTGCACTGGGGATGGGATCCCATGGTTGGCACTAAGAGGTGCACCAGGGATGGGATCCCATGGTTGGCACTAAGAGGTGCACCAGGGATGGGATCCCATGGTTGGCACTAAGAGGTGCACTGGGGATGGGATCCCATGGTTGGCACTAAGAGGTGCACTGGGGATGGGGGTCCCTGGCTGGCACTGTGGGGTGCACTGGGGAAGGGATCCCATGATTGGCACTAAGAGGTGCACCGGGGATGGGATCCCATGGTTGGCACTAAGAGGTGCACCGGGGATGGGATCCCATGGTTGGCACTAAGAGGTGCACCGGGGATGGGATCCCATGGTTGGCACTAAGAGGTGCACTGGGGATGGGATCCCATGGTTGGCACTAAGAGGTGCACTGGGGATGGGATCCCATGGTTGGCACTAAGAGGTGCACTGGGGATGGGATCCCATGGTTGGCACTAAGAGGTGCACTGGGGATGGGATCCCATGGTTGGCACTAAGAGATGCACTGGGGATGGGATCCCATGGTTGGCACTAAGAGATGCACTGGGGATGGGATCCCATGGTTGGCATTAAGAGGTGCACTGGGGATGGGATCCCATGGTTGGCACCATGGGGTGCACCGGGGATGGGATCCCATGGTTGGCACTAAGAGGTGAACTGGGGATGGGATCCCATGGTTGGCACTAAGAGGTGAACTGGGGATGGGATCCCATGGTTGGCACTAAGAGGTGAACTGGGGATGGGATCCCATGGTTGGCACTAAGAGATGCAGTGGGGATGGGATCCCATGGTTGGCACTAAGAGGAGCACTGGGGATGGGATCCCATGGTTGGCACCATGGGGTGCACCGGGGATGGGATCCCATGGTTGGCACTAATCCTGCAGAGGCACCCAAGCCCCAGCGAGTACAACGTGCCCTCGAAGCTGCAGGTGAATCACTCCCTCCTCCTCAGTCCTGGCCTGCTCCAGGGCTCGCTCGGGAGCGGGGATGTCCTCACTGCAAGCTAAGCACCGGCAAGGTGCTGCCACAAACCCACCCGTGGTCCCTGAGCATCCCTGTGTGTGACGCCACGGAGCCCCCGTTTCGGGAGGACCTCATGGGGGGAGCTGAGGCTGCTTCCCGCTGGCAGAGCCCGGCTGTGCAGCCACTGCAGAGGCAGCCTAAGCCCTCGCCGAGGTTCTGGGGTCCATTTCTCGTGTACAGGCAGGGATGCAGCCCCGGGACACCGGCAGGACCGGCTCCCAGCTGGGGAACAGGGTCTGTGGTACCCCCGGGGAGGCTCCTCTCGCACCCGGGGCCCCCCAGCTCCGAACCCGCCGCCGTGGGGTCCCACCGCCCACGGGCACGCTGCCTGCACCGGTGATGGCGGGGAACCGGGGCTCTGCCCCACCGTGTGCGCGGCCCCGAGCACCGCACCGGCCACGGCGCTCGCACCCCCCGGGTCCCGGTCCCTCCCTGCCCTCGGGTGCGGATGCGCGGCCCCGAGCCCGGGGCACGTACGAGGATACCGGTACCGCGCTCCCGGCCACCCCGCCCCGCCCCGCCCGGGCATCCCGGGCCCCGCCTCCCGCCGGCCCCGCCCCCGGCCCCGCCTCGCTCCTCCCCCGGCGGCTCCGCCCCGGTACCGGCGATCCCGCGCGGCTCCGCCCCGCCCCGCCCCGCCCCGCCGAGCCCGGCACCCGCCGCTGCCCGACCAGCACCGCCGCCGCCGAGCACCAGGTACGGGGCGGGCTGGGACGCGGGGCCCGGGGACTCGGGGCGGCGGAGCGGGGCGGGCCGGGCCGGGCCGGGCCGGGCTGGGCTCTGCGGGCATCGGCGGGCATCGGCCCTGCGGCCCCGCTCGGAGCGCCGGGAGCCCCGCGGCGGCGGCACCGGGGCCGGGACCGCGACCCCGCGCGATGCGGGAACCGGGGAGGGGGATCCTTGGGCCAGGAACCTCGGATCAGTGCGGGGAGCGCCGGCACCGGGACCCCGCGGCGGGGCGGGCAGCGGCCCGGGGGTGCGCGGTGCCCGGTGCGGCCGGAGACAGGAGCCGGGCGGGGAGCGAGGGGGATGGATCCGCTCTGCCCCGTTTCCTCCCCTCGCCGGTGCGCGGTGCCCGGCCCCGAGCGGACTCGGCCACCCCATGCAACCGGGGTCGTAGCACTCCCGGGTTCCCCTGTGCTCGGCCCGAGCAGGAGCTGCCCCGGGGCAGTGCGGGGCGCCGGTGGTACCGGACACCCCGTGCCTGGCACCCCTCGCCCCGGGAGCCGCGGGGCACCGTGGTTGGGGTCCGGGGGGCCACAGCGCTCTGGTGGCAGCGGCGTGGGGTGCAGCCGAGGGAGGTAAATCCGCGTTGAGATCCGCGTGTCAGAGGGGTGAGGACACCGGGTCCCGTCCCTGCGCTGCTGCTCGGCTGTGGCAGCTCCGTGCGGGAGATGCGGGATCTCTCTCTGCTGGTGCTCGGCTCCCCCTCGTTAGGAGACGCGTCCCTCAGCCAGGGCTGTGCATGGGTGCCACACGCACGACCCCAGGGATGTCACTTCGGGTACCGCACGCCGCGTTGACGCCGGCTGCTCACGCTGGAGGGATTCAGCCCACGTTGCTCGCAGCAGCTCCAAGCACCGCGTTCTGTGGTCAAGGCCTCGGTGGCTGCGGTGGGGCTTTGGCAGTGGAGCCAGGCACAGCCTTGTTTGCCCTCCGTGAGATAGGAAGGTGAAGCTCCCGGGGCTGCTCCAGTCCCTCTTGTCCCCATGGGAGCGCACGTGAAACCCAGTTAGAGCCGTGGTGTCTTGTAGAGGAGCCTGGAGAAGCTCTTCATGGAGCTCATCTCTTTGGAGCATGAGGTGGACACGTCTGAGTAACCACCGGGACTCGGCTTGGCAGCGAGTGCCTGCATGGGGACAGCTCTCAGCCTCGGGTGCTCCTCACAGCTTGCAGCTCCCGGGGGTCTCCATACCCAGCACCCCCCAGGGGACACGGGATGCTGGGGACCCCCGGCCGTGTCCTTCCCTGCTGATGCTGCCCGAGGAGAGGGGCCACAGAGGTGACCCCCGCACAGTCGGGCTCAGGCTGGTGCCCTCCATCCATTGCCGGTGTTTCCTGTCCATGGGAAGCGTTTGGTCCCTGCTGTGCGCTCAGAGTGGGTTTAGCCCCAGAAGCTCCTTTAGACTGAGGTTATCTTCCTATGAATTATAATTACTGTAATTATTTAATAGTATGGCAGCATCCAGAGGCCACAGATAATGAGTGGGTCTGTTCCTGTGTAGCAAGGATGCTGCTGCCATGCTCAGCAGTGCTCTGGGACAGGGTCTGTCCTGCATCTCCATGGAAATGGTCCGTGTCCTCCCAGCTGCTTGGGTGGGGAAACCGAGGCACAGGGTGAGGAAGAGCACTCGCTGATCCCCGAATTCCCCTGGAAGCGGCGTTGTCTGAAGCACACGGAGACAAAGGGGGGGCGCCTGCATTCAACATCCACTTAAAGGCAGGAATTTGTATTCCGAGAGGACGTTCTCCTGCTCTGTGCCGGGAGGCTGCAGCTGCAGCGGCTCCTGCGCGGGGGCCAGCACCGCGGCTGGGCTGCCCAGGGCAGCATGAGGCCAGCACGGGGACAGGGGCTGCCCCATGGCAGGGAGCAGGCTGTTGGGGGGATAGGGTATCCCTGCCTGCGCCCAGGGCTGAGCCCCTGCGGTCAGGACTGGTGCACTCAGGGCTGACTGTGGTGGTGCAGCTGCCTCTGGGAGCTGCCTGCTGGCGAAGCCGTTCCAGCTCGTTCCATAGATGCGCTTTGTGGACAGCTCGTGGTTCCCGATGGGATTCCTGGCATGCGCAGGAGCACACGGAGTCCCCTCTGTCATGGTCCTGTCCTGGTGGCTGCTCCTCTCGCTCTGATGGGGGCCCGAGCATCCCCCCCTGAGAGATGGGATGTGCCTCCCCAGGAGAGCATGGAGCTGCTCTTGTGATGGCCAGGCTGGACAGGGCTTGGGGCACCCTGCTCTAGTGGAAAGGGCCCTGCCTGTGGTAGGGGGTTGGAACTGGAGGAGCTTTAAGGCTCCTTCAACCCAAACCATTCTGTGATTCTACCCTATGATTCCATGAGCTGTGCCTCCTGTGGCAGAAGTGTTTGGGCCGCATCCTATTTCCCTCACCCTGCAGTCGCTGCAGGAACAGCCGTGCTGCAGGTGCTGGCAGAGCCCATGTGCTCCACTGCTGGGCACCAGCTGCCCTCCAGGCCGGGTCTCTGGGTCGAGCGTTTCCCCTCGTCCCGCAGCACACGGGGTCCCCAGGACAACGAGGAACCTTAGCAGAGCCCAGGCCACGTTCCCTGGAAGGACACAGCCCACGAGGGTGGTTCCATCCTCCCGCCGTGCTCTCTTCTGTGGATGCTGGACCACAGCGGCTGCTGCAGACTGCAAGGGGCACTCGCCAATGTGGAGCCCTGGGGCTCAAAGGCAACAGCCTCCTCCTGGGTACCGGCTCCCAGGGCTCCCTGCCATGGCCTGCCCGCGTTCCCAGGTCACCCCAGCTCACCATGTCCCACTTAGAGCAGTGGTGCCGGTGCTCCTGTGCCTGGGAAAGGCAGGAACACCAGCAGGTAGCAGTGGGAGCTGTCATCACAGCTGTATGAGCATCCACGGAAGACAGAGGAATCATTTGGCTTCTGAAAGCTCTGTGCACTTCACTGTGTCTCCTGCCCGACCATGTGAAGTCTCCATCTGACAGCACCAGCATCGCTGCAGCTGAAAGGGAGCAGAGCCGATGACCTCTGTGTGCCCGGAGGGGGATGCTGTTCTTCCCTAACTGATGGATCCCTCCGCGGGGCATTACCCAGGATGCAGCAGCCCTGCAGAGGAGCCCGCAGGGTGCTGC